CCCCCCAAAATTTTACTTTGAAATCATCAATCAAATGCCAAAAACGAAGGTGGATTCATGAAATATAACCAAAATCGAGTAGAGAACACTTACCTCAATACATATGGTGCAAATCGCCTCCAAAATCGCTCAAATCCAAGCTCCCCAATTCAAAATATGAACAAACCTTTGTTTTATATTTTTTTTTTGCCAGCTATTTTGCCTCGATTCTCATGCCAAACAATCCTGAAACTCGCTTTTGATGCCTCCAATGGATTCCTTCTGAAATTTAGTCAAGCTAAGCTCTTGAATCACTCCATTTGACCTTATATTGAAGGAGATACATTAGTTTCAATATTTGAAAATTGTGCAAATTTTTAAATACGAATTCAGTATCAATTTCGTAATTATTCTGAAAAATCTGGCAACCCAATTCTTAGTAAAATGACCATAAAATCCACATGTGATGTCCAAATTCGACAATTCTTTTTGTTATGGATCTGTAATTATAATACGGGTCTAATGCTTACATAAAAAAAAAGAAATTGGAGCTCATTTGTTTAATGTAGTACCATTATGCTTGAAAAACGACGTCGAAACATAAAAAATGAGCGCAACACAACCCAAACCTATCCGAAACTCACCCGAGCCCCCCTTGGGACCCTACTCAAATATACCAACAAGTCTCATATCATAACACGGACCTACTTGAGGTCTCAAAACACACATAACAACATCGAAACGATGAATCACACCTCAATTCGAAATCAATGAAGTTGAAACTTCAAACTTCCACAACCGATGCTGAAACCTATTCAAATCATGTCCGATTAACCTGAAAATTTGTACACAAGTCACATTTGACATTATGGACCTGCTCCAACTTCCGAAATCGGAATCCGACCCTGATAACAAAAAGTCCACTCCCAGTCAAACTTTCCAAAATTCCAACTTTCGCTATTTCAAGCCAAATTCTACTATGGGCCTCCAAATCACAATCCAGACGCGCTCCTACGTCCAAAATCACCCAACGGAGCTAATAGAACCATCAGAAATTCAATATGAGGTCAAATTCTAATAGGTCAAAACTTGGTCAAACCTTTCAAATTTAAAGCTTCTAGCTGAAAATCATTCTTCCAAATCAATTCAGAATAACCTGAAAACCAAAACCGACGATTCATATAGGTCATAATACTTCCTACGGAGCTACTCATTCCCTCAAACAACCGAGCGAAATGCAATTGCTAAAAACGACCATTCGGGTCGTTACAATAAGTTAGCATTGTATACATATTTGCTTTCCCAAAAAACCCTTACATCATTCCGCGAACGACTAAATGAGAGGGATATTTTTGTCTTTCCACAAAAAATTAAACGTAGTTCCCATTTTGCCCTTTCTCATTTACACGTTGCTCTCTCCATCCGTAAATAAAAGCTTGAGGCATCTGAATGTCTTACAATTTTTTTTGCATTCTGTCATTTTCTTTATCTTCTTAATTTAGATAGTCTCCATAGAAATTAAGATTTGAAATCATTAGATGCAGTGTGAATAGTTTGGATTTATATTTTCTGTCAAGATTTTTGGAGTAAAAAAGACATGAAATAAGCTAGAGCTCACAGGCATAAAATTGATCAACTGATTAAAGACAAACCACAATCTCTTTTCTTAACAATATTTTATATATTTGAGCTGAATAATTTTCTTTCCTCTGTGTTCCAGTGCCTCTTTTTTTCTTGCAATAGATACTGCATAACTTTCAATGAGAACTTCGGTGCAGTTCAATCGCAAATGAAGTGATGCACATGTTCTACATTATCCAAATTCCAAACATAAATTATCCATGAATCGTAAATCCTAGTCAACAAGTTCCCTTACAAAGAAAAGAAAAAACATAAGAGAGAAAACAGAGAAGGACGCCTCGCTTAGGGAGAGAAGAGAAAATACAGAAGGGAGAATTGGGTTTAGATTATCATAAAAAGACAGTAATGTCCCTCCTATTAATGTGTGGTTTGTTTGTTGGTTAGGGTATTTTATGAAAAGTAAATATGTATACAATGCTAACCTACTATAGTAGGTTAGTAAAATGTGTCAATTTATGCAATATAAATGCAAAATCTACAATCATCACTTAAGATTCATGAGGAACAACAATTTATAGTAATTTCTAGAGAGAGAAAGCTAGAGAGAAGGAAGAGTAGAAAAAGGAAATTTTATTTATGTAGAATCTATTAGAATGAACTATACACTTTTCAATACTAACAACTCTCCTTTTAACTAACTCTCTTACCTTCTCTAATGGATTTTACAAACTAAAGCCTTCACGCTTGACTAACTACACTTAGGTCCCTAATTTATTGCTACCAGGTCCCTATGCTTTCAGTCTTGATACTCCCCATCAAGCTAGATAGTAGAAAGCATCCAACACTCCCAGTTTGGAGACAAGGGTCTGATGATGGGCAGCTCTGAAAGCTTTTGTCATCAATCTACAACCTGCTCTTTTCTAGGAATATACCGTGGTGATATCAGTCCATCTTTAATCCTTCCCCTCACAAAATGACGGTCTATTTTTATGTTCTTAGTTCTTTCATGATAGATTGGAGTAGCAATAATTTGTAAGGCTGTCTTGCTGTTAAAAAATAGCTTCATAGGTTACTGAACTAGAATCCCAAGCTCTTTATCAAGTTTGCAAGGCAGACCACTTCAGGCACCACTACAACCATGCTTTTATATTCTGCTTCTGCGAAACTTCTTCTTACAGTCTATTATTTTTTAGATTTCTAAAAAATCAATTAATATTCCAATTTAACTACATATCTGTAACAGATCTTCTTGTGTTTGGACGTGCTGCCCAGTTTGAATCACAGAAGGATAAGACATGTTCTAGCGACTCTTTCTTTAGAAATATTCCTCTTCCTAGAGATCCTTGTATGTACCTTATTACCCTCATGGTTGCTTCTAAGTGAGACTACTTTGGATGCTGCATGAATTGGGTAAGTATCATAACTGCAAAGCAGATGTCAGGCCTAGTCATGGTTAAGTATATTTTCTTTCCTATGAGCTTTTGGTATCCACCAATATCATGTAGTTCTTCATATCCTTTGACCCCAACATGCATATCATAGTCAATAGTTGTAAGTTTATGATTTTGTTCAAGAGGTGAATTTGCAGGTGTTGCTCCACCTAGTCCTGCTTCAGATATAAGACCCACTGCATACTTCCTTTGATTTAGAAGAATCCCCTTCTGTGGTCTCATAACTTTTACTCCTAGGAAATACTTCAATTCACCAAATCTTTAACTTTAAAGTTCATGTGCAGTGCTTCCTTTGCATCATCTATCAATTCTTTACAACTTTCAAGGATTAAGAGGTCGTCAACATACACTAATATAATCACTATATCTGCACCATTTTTCTTTATAAAAAAAGTGAGTGATCATAGCACTTTGCAAATGCCCTGCCTTGGTGAGAGCATCAGCCAGTTTAATATTCTACTGCCTGGATGCTTGTCTAAGATCATAAAGAGACTTTGACAGTTCGTACACTTTAGACTCCTCCTTCGTATGAAAATCTTGAGGCAGATGCGTATCGACCTCTTCATAAAGATCTCCATGTAAGAAGGCATAATTGACATCCATTTGAAAGAGATGCCAATTTTTGGAGGTTTCCAGACTGATCACAGTTCTGACTGTCACCATTTTGACTACTGAGGAGCATATTTTATGGTAGTTTAGGTCTTCTTGTTGTGTATAACCTTTAGCAACAAGTCTTGCTTTAAAACTTTTTACATCTCAATTTGTCTTGTATTTGATTTTATATACCCATTTAGAACCAATGTGCTGCTTCTCTAAGGGCAAATCTACAACCTCCCATGTGCTATTGTCTTCCAAAGCTTTGATCTCCTCCTTCATTGCCTCTACCCATATAACATCTTGAGAGTCTTCTGTAAAGGAAGAAGGTTCTGCATCTGCTGAAGAAGCTGTTAGATAGGCCTGATATGCATTGGCAGATGATCGTAGGATCCATACTGTGAGATGGGATAAGGATTTTGTCCTGATGGTTTCTAGGTAGTGACATAGTCTTTCAGCCAAATAGCAGGCTTTACACCTCTAGCTGACTTTCTCATCCCAACTGAAGAACTTGTCTGATTTTTATATGTATCTACAACTGGTTTTGGTAGTGCCTCATTCACCTTATAGTCCACCTCCTGTTCCACTACTTCATCAACCAAGTTTTCCATTTCAGAAATGACTTCGTATTCCTGGTTAGATCCCAGTTGTTTAGTGTGGAAATCACCATCAGAGTTAGCTGTTGGAACCATGTTATTTTCTTCAGGAACTTCAATAGAAACATCTGCTCTTACATTGTATCTATTTTGGATGCTTGAATTAGTTGTGTCCACTATGCCGGGAAGAAATAAGTCCTCTTTGTCTATGCTCTCTTCCTTAAAAGGAAAGATGTCCTCTCTAAAACTCACATCTCTACTAACAAGAAATGTGTTGAGTCCAAATCGAATAGTTTGTATCCCTTTTGTGTATCTGTGTAGTCTATGAAGAATGTTCTTCTTGCTCTTGGTATATACTTATCCCCCTAGGAAATGTGCTTTCATAGCTGGCCTACTTTCGGACTATGAAAGCCTTGTCACTACGGCGAATCTTCAACGACCGAAACCAACTATGGCTGAGCTTTGATCTAGCTTGTTGTTACATGAGTCTTGACTTTAGTATAGACACCCAAATACTCTTAAGTGATCAATTTTGGATTGTTTACCATACAACATTTCAGAAGGAGATTTGACATCTAATACCTCTGTAGGTTGTTTGTTGATCAAATACACAACAATCTTTACACAATCTCTCCAAAACATCACTGACATGCTACTTTGAAATCTCAATGCCTTAGTTACCTCTAGGATATCCCTGTACTTTCTTTCTATAACTCCACTCTGTTGTGGAGTGTAGGGACAACTGCTTTGATGTATTACACCAAAAGAGGTAAACAATTCGTTGCACTTAGTGTAAAGAAACTCTGTGCCATTATTTGATCTTAATCACAGTACCAAACTGATTCTTAGTCAAAGGAAAGAAATCTTTTAAGACCATAATCACTCACTCTTGGAATGTAACAGACAAATTCAAGTATATCTACTGAAGTCATCAACTATGATAACAAAATTGTGTTTTGTATCATAGGTTGGTACTATATTATATGGACTACATTCATCAACATGCACAAGCTGAAAGGTACAACTAGACTTATTGCTACTAACATGAAATTTAAGTCTACTTTGTTTGGACAAAGGGCAAACTGCACAATAGTTCAGCATGTCTACATCTACCTTATTCTATAGTTCCACCAAGTGTTGCTTAACATTTTTAGAAGCATGTCTCAGTCTTTGATGCCATAATCTAGTATCTACTGTTTCATTTTTTAAAGTCCCTGCTGCTACCCCTTCTTCTCTTCTAAGTATGTATAGGCCAATATCTTCCTTACCAATCCCCAGCACCTTGCCATTGTAGAGCCCTGAAACACACGAAATTCAGGATAGAAGGTGATTGAACAACACAAGTCTCTAGTTATCTTGGACACTAAAAGCACGTTGAATTTTAAATCTGGCACACACATGATATTTGTTATCTTCCGTTTTTTTGGAATTAGTGCATCTCCTGAGTATGTGATCTTTTATTTATCTCTTGTAGGTGTTTCTACTCCATAACTGTTTTGTCCTTCTATTGCCTTAAGACATTCTAAAACATCTTTGCAGAAAATTATATGATGTGATATCCCTGAGTCTATTATCCAATCGTATACACTGTCGTGGGATACATTAGATAATAAGGACACAATACCTGTCATGTTTGAAGAATCTGTCATCACAGTAGATCCTTCTCCCACAGAAGATTGCTTGTAATATTCCTCTATCAAATAATTTCCTTGAACTTGACCTTTGACATTTGTTCCTACCTCTGAATTTGTATTTGCATTGTTGGAATAAGGCTAATATGCACATGGTTGCCACTTTTTCTTGCTCGTAAAATCTGCTGGATAGGCTATTGTTTTGTAGAAATTCTCCGTTAGGTTGCCCTTATAGCCATAGTGCTCACAGATTAATCCTGTTTTTTTCTTTAAACATTTGTCCCCGGCCTGCTAACATAGTTAGAGGATCTTTGTTTGTCTCAACAACTCCTAACGTTCTTTGGCTATAGCTCTCATTGAGCGTCATAAGGAACTGCAGTAGCCTTTGTCTTACCAGATGATCAACATACGGTCTCAATTCCTCATAGTCATGTGAAGGCAACCGTGCTAAAATGTCCAATTCATCCCATAAATCTTTCATCTTTAAAAAATACGTAGTGATTGTCCGTACCCCTGTCTCAGCATTGCAATATTAGTCCAGAGTTGATAGATTCTGGTCAAATTGTCCTTATCAAATCTCTCTTTGAACTCGTCCCACACTTTCTTCGCACTCGAAGCATACATGATACTTGGTACCAATTCAGTTGACACTGTGTTGCTGAACCATGATAGCACCGCTGCATTACACCTTTTCCATTGTGTTGCCAACTCGCCTCTGTATGAACTCTTGCGATAAGTACCATCTATAAACTCCTAATTTGTTCTTCACCAAGAGTGCTACCTTCATAGCTCTACTCAATAGGGCATAATTTTCAGGCCATGTGAGTTTCAGCGATATCAACGTTGTTCTAGGCAAGTCAGAATCTCGAAGGAATAAGGGATGATTATGGGGCAACTACTCGATCTCATTATTGTTGAACTTCAATCGACCTTCAATTAGTAAAATTAGAGTTGTAGATCTGGGTAATTACAGAGATCGTCGCTCTGATATCAAGTCAATTTATGCAATCTAAGTGCAGAATTTTACAATCATCACTTAAGATTCATGAACGAACAACAACGAGTAATTTCTAGAGAGAGAAAGCTAGAGAGAAGAACGAGCAGAAAACGGAAATTTTATTTCTGTAGGATCTGTTAGAATGAACTGTACACTTTTCAAGACTAACAACTCTCATTTTAACTAATTCTCGTACCTTCTCTAATTTATTTTACAAACTAAAACTAAAGCCTTCAAGCTTGACTAACTACACTTACACTTAGGTCCCTAGTTTATTGCTACTAGGTCACTATATTATCAGTCTTACAATCATTGTGTCGATTGTACACAAGACTGATAATATAATAAATTTACTGATTTTATATTGTTTCGTGCAGGGGATTTGGTTAGGGATGATTGGTGGGACAACAGTGCAAGCCTTTATTTTACTGTTCGTCATTTTTCGAACACATTGGAATGAAGAGGTAAATACAATGAGTATTTTCTCTCTCTTACAAAAATACAAATATTTAATTGAGAGTTTTACTTTACAGGTGGAGAAAGCAAAGAAACGTTTGGATAAATGGGAAGACAAGAAAGAATAATCTTGGTCGTACGTATTAACAAGTATTCTGTGTGATTCACTATATTGATGTGCCTATGTAAAATATTAAAACCATGAAATCTGATGTACGTGGAGCCAAGATTTCTAATTATTTGTAATATATCATAATCAAACATCATTTGAGGATATACTAATTTAACCCCTGTTGCCACTTCAACTTAATGGATTTCTTAACAAAAAGAGGTGTATTTTCTTTTTTAAAAAATACCGGACATGTATCTGATGTTGCATTATATTACAAGGAATATTTAATTTAAGAGAAATCTACGCGGTATACTTATGGGAAACACCAGTTAACTTCATATACATTTAAATATTTATTTTATCTTGTATGCCTATTTTATAAAACTTTATTTACTTTTTAAATCTGTAATATCATTATATATCATTAAACAAATCCCATATTTTAAGGAACTAGATTATCTCTCACTCCCTTAAAATACTCCATCATCCCACGTTTTAAGGAATTGGGATTATGCTTACCTTCTGACAAAAAATTCTCTAAGTCCTTCATCGCTTTTTTTTTCCTCTTCCATCTAAATCAAAAGAAAAACAAAAATAAGGTGAAAATGTTTTAACTTGGGATAGAATATACTAAACTAAAATAAAATACTAGAACATACTACTATTCAAACCAATACACCACAACATCCTAATAAAAAATATAATGTTCGAATCAAACAAACTATAATATTCTAATTTGGAATATAATATTCAAATCAAACATACCATAATATTCTAATTTGGAATATAATATTTAAATCAAACATACCACAATATAGTATTCAAATCAAACATACCACAATATTCAAATTTAAAATACAATATTCAAACCAAGTATACCAAATTACGATAGTTTAATCAAGAATATATAATTCAAACCAACATACCAAATTCTAATAAAGAATACAATATTTAAACCAAACACATCACAATATTCTAATTTAAAATCCATATTCAAACCAAACATTACATATTCAAACAAACATACCACAATATTCTAATTTGGAATATAAAATTCAAATCAAATATACCTTTATTTTTATTTGTTGTGTATAATTTATTTTACTTGTAATATTAACATGCTATATATAATACTAGTATATAATATTCTAATTTGGAATACAATATTCAAATCGAATATACCTACAATATTCTAATTTGGAATATAGTATCCAAACCAAACATATCTTTATCTTTTATTTATTGTGTGTATTTTATTTTACTTACAATATTAATATGCTATATATAATACCAGTATACAATGAATATTTTACTGAATAATTGTTTATTGTATAAAAGAAAATAAGGACAACGGTTCTCATAAGAAAAGGCTTTGTTTAAAGGGATTTTATTCTTTAATTTTGGTCTAAAGTTTAAACGGATGGAGTGGATTTGCTTCATATAGATCGATACTTTCCTTTAATTAGGGAGTAAATTTATATGGTAGTTATTGTTCTTTTGACTAAATGGATATGTATGGTAATTAATTGATGTGTACTACATGTAATTTCATAATTAAAGTATATTGTGTTAAAGGACTTTTAAAAGTAGGTACACGATGTAAAGTTCCTTTAATTTACCTTACCTTAAATTTAATCCACAGATCGCCACAAGACACAACTCAAATATCAATTGTGCTGGTGTTAACATATTTGGAGCTTTTTGGGCTAAAGTTTACCAGAGAAGTCCTTCATGGAAGGACTGATTTACGCAAATATCCCTTTTGAGGTCATAAATCCAGATGTTGTCTCTATTTTTGAAAACTATACAAATATAGCCCTTGACTAATTATTCTTTCGGACAATATTAGAACTCGAATGTTCTATCTATACTATATTAAAAGCACGAAGACCCTTAGCAAAATGTCGTTTGCGTTTTTTACCCTTTAGAAATAAATTTCACACTAGACAAAATAGTCATTTGATTATTTCTCTAATATTAGTAATAGTCATTTAATATTTTTCTAAATATTTAGGAATTCGGGATTAGCTAGATTTTGTGTATAATATTCTTCCTTATTTAAACTATGTAACATAATAAACTTGTAAAAGAAAGATCTAAATATTTTGTAAAATGTTCCAAAAAAGTCGTTTACATAAACTTTGAAGCACTTTTACGTCTTGGGGATACTTTTGTTTGTCACATTTCAACAATTAATTCTTTAAAAAAATTTAGGTAATCTAGGTAAGAGTTTTAATTTCAGTTTCTTTTAGGTTTAAGAGTTTTTTTCCTTTCGTTATAAGTTATTAAAAATTGAGGGTTTGACGTAGGTTTAGGAATATATATTTTTTTTAAAAAAATTAATCAATTAATTCTTTATAAGAAAGAGATTAATTCTTTGTAATTATGGTAGGTAAAAAAAATATTAATACTTTATAAATATTTTAGGTAAACTTTTTGTGCCCTTGGACCTCCTTTTAGGTTTAGGAATTAATTTTTTTTGGTAAAATTCTCAAGCACTTGTACTTCCTTTTATGTTTAGGAGTATGTGTTTATGTATAATTCCTAATATTAAGGACTGTAATTTCTTACATCTTTTGTTCATAATTCTTTTCATTTTGGTATTTACGAGATACAAAAGAATTGTGATTGAATCCTAGAGGCATACCCTTCCCTGTTTTTAGGATTTGTTTTTCTTTTGAAAAGAATTTATCTTTCTTCATTAAACTTTTGAGATCTTTGTTTGTACCGTGTAAACACAGAAAGTAAATTAATATCCAAGCTTCTTCTTTTTTTTTTTTTCAACAGATTCAAGCTTAAATTTTACAACTTATAAAAACTTGTCTTTTGGGTAGAAAATTGAATTTGGGCAAGAATCGAGACTGTACAAGAGGTATTATTCATAAAAATAACTGAAATTTCTCCTCTTTGTTAATGGAAAGGAGTCTCTCCCTCTCTCTTCTTGTTAATCTCACATTCATAAATTCATGCTAAAAAAAATTGTAATATGAAATGTTGTGTACTTTGCCTCATAGAGGAGTTAGAAATCAATTAAAATTTTAATGATTTGTTGGATAAACTTTGTCCTTTCTTTATTGCGTTCAGACTATATGAATTATAATTATTCCCGAATCACTATTTGTAGGCTCAAAACCAATGATTATGGTAAGTTATGCTAGAGTGCAACTTTGTCTTTCAGGTTTGCTTTGTTAAGCGTGCATACTATATTCGACAATTCTGAAAAAAGTTTGATCTTTCTTATGTTTCTAAATTCTAATATTCAAACTAATGTTTGAAATTAACTAAATGTATATATTGTTTTTATTTATATTTTCTATTAATATTTTGTTCTTGAATTTTATACTATTAGTATTTGCATTATATGCCTACATGTTCACAAGTTTGATTGTATATAGTTCATTGAAGTAGTATATTCTTCATTTAGATTTTTTATTTTCGATAAATTTACTCTTTTGAATCTTTTGTTCTATTTACAACTTTAAATCGATTGTTATAATTAAATACGTTGATTAACTTAAGAAATAGTTTTCACGATTTTTTTAATTAAATATTTTACTTAGTAAGTTGTTATTATTATTCTAAAGTAAATGCATCAATGATTAAATGATAGAGAGNTGTATTTCATCTGTATATACAGTCAAATTTCTTTATAATAACCTTGTTTGTTCCGATATTTTTTGGTTGTTATAGTAAAATGCTGTTATAGAGAATATATATTATAACATAACAAGAAAAATTGGTTCCAAAGAAAACTTGGCCGTTATAGTGAAGTATTGTTATAAATAAGAGGTCTGACTATATCATTATTTTTTTAACACATTTCCAGTACTTTAAATTATGAGCCCGTTTGGCCATGAAAAGTTTTTCACTTTTTTCAAAAAACAAATTCACTTTTTTCGAAATAAGTGTTTGGCCATAAAAATTTTAATTTTCATTTGAAGAGAATTTTGGAATTTTTCGAAAATTTGAAATTCTCCAAAAAGTTATTTTTCAAAATTTTCATTCAGATCACTCACAAAATTTCAAAAACAACCCAAAATTATAATCATGTCCAAACACAACTCTAATTTTCAAATACCATTTTCACTTGAATATTTTTCGGAATTTTCTTGGAAAATACTTTATATAGTTGCATCTCACTAGGATTAAAGAAATATTTTGAGCACAAGTTATATATTTTGTTCTACGAAGATTTTACCGGGAAAAAAATCCAAAAAAACCCGAATAACGAGAAAACCCGAGAAAAATCGAGATTTAAAAATCCAAGTTTTATTGGTTTGGTTTGGTCTTTAGATTTAATAACCCGGCACAATTGGTTTGGTTTGATAATTGTAAAATCCGAACCAACCCGATCTATATACACCCCTAGTACATATTATTACACTGTTTGATACCATTATCCTTATCATTGAACTGCTTAAACTCGATTATGTTATAATTTAAAATATTGCTTGGTTTTCACNGCAGGTGCACCGAACTCCAGTATATTATGTTGAACCGGTCTCTATTACAGCAAAATAGTGGCTATTTTTCATTGACTTGATAAATGCTGGCTATTTTTGAATGACCAGTCCGAAAGCTGGCTAGACCGTGCTATTTTTACTTTAGACCATGGTGTAAATGGCCTACAAGTTACAAGAGAAATTAAAAGGGAGTCATTTGTAAAGAGCTATCCCTAAAAAAAAGGAAAGTAATTTACATAGAATACAACCTTTTTAAGACTATTTAAATAACTTATTACCTCTTCTCAAAAATTGTATATAATACAACTTATTTTAAAATTTTACCTTTTTAATTAAACTAGTTTTCTGCACATGCGCTGCACGTGTATGCCTAATCATGTAATACACATTTTTGTAAATAATAGTAATATTATAAAATAAATTTTTGAGTAAATAACTATACATAATGAAGAAATAAAGTTTAAGTTTTTGTGATTGATCAATGTGAATTTATCATATGGTCACTTGTTTGTCTAGGTCAAAATGATTGGATCTAGTTTGAACTAATAAGAATGAAGGAGTTACGCTTACACCCTTAGTAATATAAAAGAGACAATAATGAAAAAATGAAGAAAAAATTGACCTAGAAGATAATGATTTATTCGAGAAATTTTTTTTAAATAAATAAAATCATATAAGCTTTACTGAAAGAATATAAACTCTAATCATCTCC